TTTAACTTTAAACTTAAACTTAACTAACTAATTAAGTAAACGAACGTACCTTACTACTACTACGGTATACTACATTAGTTAGTTACGTTTCTTGTAATATATATAGGTTAGTAGTANAATATGCATATATATATATATATATATATATATATGTACATATACATACATATATATATATATATATATACATATCCCATATTAAGACAATAGCACATGTTATTGTGAACTCAACATATGTATCAAGGGATACATACAGGAAACATGATAGACATTCTGGATTGGTGGTGCTATCAGTTTTAATCGTATCTGTTGAACACGCATGTAGAGTGCATATATTAAATGGGTGAATACTCACATGTATTATAACTAAAATCGGTAGATATACCCGAATCATGTCGTGCAAGTGGCAGATTTACAGTTAACCGTACCCAACGACAACATGTTGGTTACACACGTTCCGAACTGCTTTTATAAAGTGCATCACCTCAACCACACACCTTATATTGATGTGTTCAGTGGCTAGCAATGTTTTATTTATTATCATGTATCACTTTTAAAAAAGTACACACTTGAGGCATTCACAAGCGTGTTCCACTAGATCACAAACCTGGTTGTAGTGTTCAATGGTCTCCTGCACTTTCATCTGTATATCTCTGTTGGGCGACTGACTCTCGCTCAGCAGCATGAGGATCTCATCCAGCCATTTCTGGTCTGGCTGAAACATTGCCATCTTGTATATATATTGTATATGCTAGGCTTGTATAAGGCTATATTGTGCTAGAATGACTGTATCGGAATTGCGACGAAATCACGCGGTTGAATGTCTTATGCTGGAGCGTGATTCTTCCATTCGTGCAATATAGATGCTTGTGACTTTGCAACGACTATCTTCATTTGCACTAAGCGTTCACATCCATAGCTTAAAAGGCATTTATGTCCTGAGTATGACTGTATATTGTACGCGTATGTCTCACATACAATAATGCCATCTCAAAACAAACAACACGGCAGAAATCTCCGCAATATTTACATATTTATTAAAAAGTTTTAAAAAGTGCTTTCCTCGTTGAGTACTGATTTGGGGGGGAAAGTTTTCTAATTTACCGCGCACCGTAGCCACAAAAAAATCTTAGTTTTTTTGCTTGATTTTTATCTTGTGCCCAGATTGAGTTTATTTTGCCTATTGCTATATAGTAGGTAGTATAAATTTGTCGCGAGGTTTTCGAGGTTTTCAATGCAATTAGGTTTATTTGGTTTCTCTTGTATACATCTATAAATATGTATTTACATATTTATTATGTATTTTTACAGGGGACGCAAAATACTGGAAATTTTTTATTGGTCTCGCGTGAGAATGATATTCAAGACCCTTTCCAAAATTCCAAGTTCCACACAGAATCCACAGCACAGATTACAGAAGTGCGGGAGCGGGGGCCGAGCCGCCTGGGGGACAGCCCTGAGCGGTTAGCCGCTAGTAGTAGGCTGACCGGCCTGAGCGGCGGCCTGAGCCTACATATGACTCCTGGCTCTCTGACTCTGAGATGCCTGGGGCTGGAGCCTCTGAGCCGCAGTAAAGCCGTAAAGCCTGGGGCGTGGGCCCGTGCCGCCCCGTGGCCAGTGGGGGGGGAATTGCGGGTATTTATTTAATTTTAGTTATACACAGGGCCCCAGGGCCCAGAGGTCATAGACTATTCTCATAGTCGAGGGCTATTCAGACTGAAGGTACCGAACCTTTAAAAAATGATTCCATTCCAAAATTGCTTTCAAAAACGCGCGTAAAGTTAAAAAATCAGGGGGGGTTTTTTGATGACACAAGAAGCATCCTGTAAATACATGCATCTAGAGTTCTCTCACTAGACACGATAGTAGTTTGATTTTTTTTACGAATGCACAGGCTGACTCTCGCTATACAGATGGAGGCGTGCCTAATGCCCTATGCATTGACCACTTAACATAAATATCGTGCTAAAGCGTGCTCTTGAAATACAATTGTACTGTATGAATCATCGCAATCGTATCATCTCCAGCGACAGTGGGATATAATCGTACTGTGACCGGGGATTAAGTTCGAAGCTGCTACTGAGTGATAACTAAAGGTATTAGTATTATGTTGTGCTCTGATACAAAATGATTTCCACAGTGAACGTTCTATAACTATGTGTTTATGTACGTACGTATATATAATTCAATATATATATATATATATATATATATATATATATATATATATATA